AATTTTAGAGAAAATGTATGACCTTCTTTTTCGTTGGGACAAACAAAACTTTCCGTCATATACCAGTGTTCGCATATTAAGCTGGTGTCCGAAGACACATGGTAGAAAGGGGTTCTACTGTACCGAGAACAAATCTAGCTACTCGTCAAAGCGAGACTTGACCTCGGGACCTCCGACTACAAGTCCGGCCCTCCGAACCGCTCGGCCAGGCTGCCTCTGATTACATCGATCAGTTCTCTTTTGACTAACCATAATTTCATTTTCCTATCTCCTAGGAGAGTATTCAGTTCTGCAAGCGACATTCACATTTAAACGGAGAATGGGTTTTTACCTGATTCAAATCTATATACCTTGCATTGCGGTGGTATTTGTAGCTTGGATGTCGCTGTTCATTGATAGTCGCGCGACACCCGCTCGTGTAGGTCTGTGCATTACAACACTTCTCACCATATCAACTATCTGGGGCGCCGTCAATTCCTCCTTGCCAAGAGTTTCCTACGTGAAAGCCATTGATGTGTATCTGATGACATCTTTCTTCTTTGTTCTCTGCACCATGCTAGAATATATTGGCCTTATACACCAAGAAAGAGCGAAGGTATTCATTTGGTAGTTTTATGAATAAGTGTATAGCTGGCTTTGCGAACGTACAGGCGTGTAGGGATCCACAACGGAGATTCACAATCATGCGCGACCTCCTTCCCAAGATTCTTCTAGCCCATCTCATTTTCTGGGGGTAAGAAATAGAGATTAGTAATCACAAGTGTTTTCTGGAGCTAATTCCGTTTACACCTTTTCGCTGTTTGATCAATGGCAAATACAGTCCTAAGAAGCGTGGTGTAGGGCTTGCCAGTTTTTCTTAACATGACGATTCCACGGTTGCAGTGCCCTTGCGCACACGTAAGATACAGCCGGCCTTAAACGAGGAACTTACAAGACTTGCTGTACGTGAATTCGTCCCTGGAAAGTTGCATGGCATGCTAAAACCCTTACAAATAAGGACAGTCATATCACCAGTGGACAAGCAAGTAGTCATAAGATCTCTGTTCAACCAACTACGCTTCCTTTGGCTGTTAGTATTTGCGATTGACCAGAAGAATACGTGTAACTGGGTTTAGGACTTAGTTACATTTAATCATGGACCCGATCAACTTCTAGTAACTGAACCACCCTAAAAAGACTGAAAGGCTAAAGTTTATGTGATGCGCTGTATAAATTGACATTAACTAATTTTTAGATGCAAGAGTCGTGGGAGCAATTTACTTTCCCTAAGACGCAAGAAAAAGTTACTGGTTTAACCAAAGTCGAAATTGTTTTACCTTTTTCTTCCCAAAACGAATATTTCTAATCTTGTCAAATTAGAAGAAAACATTTTTCTACAAAAATTCCTAGTCGACCTAGGCCCTAATAACCACTCGTAAGAGTTGTAGCACTCGAATCGTAGCTTCCACGACTTGTAGTAGTTGTGAGAGGACCCTGGGGGGAGGGTACTCAACAAATTTTTAAACGAGGAGGCTCCACCCCTCACACCCCTTACCCTTCTTTAATATACCATGAGAAAAGGTACCCCTTTCGTGTACCCTCTATTGACATTGTACCTTTTTTCACATACCTAGCTTAGAATTTGGCTTCCCTTATAACTGCAGCCTGTAATTTAGAAACACTCGTGAAGACAAAACCACAGCTGCAACACACCAGTGAGTGGTCAGCCGATCTTTAGTAGACCTGGCTCAGTGGCAATTCAATGCCTAATTTTAGATTAAAACAGTAACCTGATCCTTTCGGGGGGAAGCTAAGAGAGAGAGAGAGAAAAATGTAAAGAAAATGCTTCTTCGGTAACCAGAACGTTTTCAGGAACTGTTACCAGACCGTTTTCATGAACTGTTCAAAGCCATAAAATAAATAGGGTAGCCCATCTGGGCCCTTTTACAGACCGAAATGACAGATTCCTTTACCCTTTCATATACCTGAAGCCTAAAAAAGGTACCTCTTTTGAGTACAACCTTCCCGTGTAGGCCATTATAGGGAATACCCCCACCCCCCAACCCCGAGGGTATTGGAGAACCTGTATAATTTCGTGCAAAATCACTGGCTGTATTCAGATATCGACTCAAGCTACAGATTCTGGGCATTTGTCAGTCACGGGACTGTAGGAAACTATTGATATTAAAATTTCCCTTTATTTTTGTATTTGTTTTGTTTCCCAAAGAGAGGCATATGGCGGATCAAAGCACCATTCTTGAGGAATGCCAAACTCCGCTCTTTATCGTACGACTTAACAAGTGATGACAGCAGTTTCTATAGAGGAGGATTGTATTCTCTTGAAGAAGAAAAAAAGGAGCAAATCGAATTGAAGGACGTAAGAAAGAACGAAGGATATTTAGCGAAAGAGAAGGATCAGCTCGAATCGACGGCTGTTGACTTTGCGGCAAGGATTGCATTTATTATTGCCTTCGGATTGTTTAATTTCTTTTATTGGTTTATTTTAATTTATGTCGCATAA